GCTCTGAGGAATAACTGGTTTTTCAATTATCAGAGAAGAGGGAGAGGTATTATTGTTTAATTCAATATCTGGTTTGTGTCATGTCATCATCACACACAGGTAATGCCTGTCATGAGAGTTTTTAAACATACTTCAGTGTCCCTTAGTTGTGATTTTCGGAAGCCATGTATGGGGGCAGAGTGTTTTTGGCGGTGAAACAAAGAAATAATATTTCAATCAACAAAAACGTTATTGACCCTGTTTTATTCAAACATTTGATTTTTCTTTGAAGGTCACCCCTTGTTTCCAAACAGTTGGTGACTGATAAGATGTACAAATGGCACTTGTTGGACAAAGAAACTTGCATTGTGCAGAGAGTTGAGAAAATATATAGCGACAAGAAGCTCTTCTACAGCTTTTATAGACAAAACAGGAGAGGCAGAATAGGAAGAGAAATAAAACAAACTGAGTTTTGCTAGGACAAGTAGATCCAGGAAGAAAAAGGGGTTAAACAGGGAAGCAGAGACAGCGAGGAGGGGGGGAGGCTACCAGCGCATCAGGCCCCCAGCATCTTCTTGACCAGGTAGCCGGGGAGAGAGTAGAGGAAGACGCCCAGCATGAGCAGCAGCAGCACCAGCCCCAGCAGCTTCAGGATCAGCCAGCGGTAGTTGTGCCAGATGAAGTAACGAATGGACTTCAGAGGGCCCAGAAACCACATAAGACTGGTGTCCGGGCGACTTTACGTAAGGAGTTAGAAAGAGGAAGGGAGGAGAGGAAGGAAGGAATGCAGATGGAGGTAAAACAGAGAGAGAGGGTAAGGAGAAAGGGGGAGTCACAAAGACAAAGGAGGGAGGGGAGAGACAGAGGGAGACAGTGAGGAGATGGTAGGAGGAGAAACGATTGCGAAAGTCCTTTTGACAGCGCAAGAAGCAGTGCTAAGGTCAACATGACCAAATTACATCTTGATAAAGTATGATGTTCTGATTTATGGTGATTTTTAACATTTGATACACAAATGCCTTTTGCATTGTGAGTGGTATTCTTTAAGAGGAGGACTCAAGGAGATGTCTGCACCACATAACCGACCTCAAATAGAATTAGTGAAACTAGTGTGTGTGTGTGTGTGTGTGTGTGTGTGTGTGTGTGTGTGTGTGTGTGTGTGTGTGTGTGTGTGTGTGTGTGTGTGTGTGTGTGTGTGTGTGTGTGTGTGTGTGTGTGTGTTAGTCTACATGTATTAGTAATAAAAGTCAATGTCTTACTTTGGTTTCTCCAGGGGATCAGGCTCATTTCGTCCCAGGCCTACAGGACTTTTCTCCGCCTCTTCTGCCGTCACCAGATGAAGCTCAGCTTCTACTTTACCCTGCAAACACAACATTATTATGAATCAATTCTCTAGAAGCTTTAAGAAAACTAATCCCTGATTTTTGTTCAACCCTTTTTCAGTAATGCGGAGGATTCCAATCTTCCTTGGACTCCTCAGATTTATCTTGGGAACTTTTTTTATACCGCTACAATATAACAACTGTAAATCTGTTGTAAGTGGCTTTTGAACGGCTCCTTTGAAATGTTTATTCAAGCAATTTCGAGATGATGATTTCACATGTGGTGCTGAAAAGGGCCACACGGGGAAGATATGTAATAATGGAATATTGCCAGTGATATTACTTCAATAAATAAACGAGTACAGCATGAAAGTGTAGTCAGTTCTGCCTTTCTCAGAAAAAGTTCTTTCAGTCAGTCTTCATTTTCTGTTAAAGCTGCTCAGTAATGGAACTCAATCCCACCTCCAATCAGAGACCAGACCACATTCACTTTATTTAAATCAAAGCTCAAAATATGGTTAGTGGGGAATCAGCTCTGCCGGCACTGACCCAATCTTCTGCTCCTTACAACCCTGCCTGTGTTTTAACATGTTCTTTTGTTTTGTTTTATTTGTTTTGTTTTAATGTTCTGTATTTTAAATTGTTTTATTTAAGTATCCCAGTAATGTCTGTTGCATGTTTTAAATGTATTGTATTTACTTGTTTAAAATGAAACGTGTTTTAGGTTGACTTTTAAAATCTGTCCAGGGACTACAGATGAAAAATAGCCTCTTGGCTAACTCTGGCACATTTACAGAAATGTTCATTAATGTGCACTGTCCCTGTTAAATAAATGAATAAATAAAAAAAATAAAAAAATTCTGCTGCTTCCAGAGTACTGCTAAAAAACAACACATTTCTTGTTCTATTAAAAAACTTGAATTATTTCCAACAACAAAAAATATGGAACGAACATAAAAAGCTACTCTCTTTCAAATAACTGGAATCCGAGTGCAATATTGCAGTAAAAAAAAACACAATATTTTGCGTATCCTTTGTTCCAAAACTATGCTAAGTATTTCCCAACTGACTCACCGTCAGCTCCATCTCATCGTTCTCATCGCGAGCTACAAACGGCCACCAGCCCTTCACCCTCTTTTGTTTGAAGATAGAAATGGAGGGCAGCTCGTGCTCATTTCGGATCATGTCAAGGGAACACTGCTTGGCCGTCTTGGCGCCACGAGGGAACCGGTTAAGGTCCAGCTCAATCGCCCCTGAGAGTGGTCATAGAAAAAGACAAGGATGGTAATACTTTGGATATCTTAGATCAGATGGCTAAATGTTCTGCAACGTTCCTCACCCAGGAAGTCATCAGCAGAGAAGTGGTCGGCGTCCCAGACCTGCAGCGTGAGGCGAGGAGGGATCTTATACTCAGTCTCATCCCAGGAGAACATGGACTCTTTCTTAGAAATGACGATCTTCTCCTCAGCCATGAGGTAATCGAAGGGGAAGACGAAGCGCCAGTTAAAGTTTCCTTCCCCGGTGAGGGAGTGATAGTGCACGTCTGTGTCCTGCTTGTCCTCCTGCTGCCCTTTGAGCCATCTGTGGGAGATCCATAGAGGTCAGTTAGCTTGATCTTTAAGGATCAGTGTTTGGATGAGTGAATAGATTGTGTTGCTTGATTTAGTTAGTCATGCACTTTTAAAGGTCTAACAAGTTGGAAATTGCAATAGTCTGTTAGTTACTGATTATTAATTTGATTGATTTAAACAAGAGCACAGGACATTAAATGTATCAGATTGCCAACAAGAGAGATGATGCTCATAGGTCAAAAATCACATAATGTTGCACTCCAAAGGCAAATCAGATTAATATGTGTGTGACATCTGATTTGATGTTGGAGCTTCACACTATTTCAAAGCCATGCATACACAAAGCCTGCATTAATGCCATTAGTGAAACTGATCTGAAATTTGGCAGTTGAACACTTTCATCTTTAGTGCCTGGATGCAGATAGCAGAGGATCAAACGCTCAATCCGTGCCGGCTGAAGCTCTATCCTTTACACTATAGTGAGACTGGCTTCATTAGGGAGGGAGAACATCATGGAAGCTGCACTCTCAGATTTTAAAAATGCAACACTAAAATAAGGAAGCTGACAAGTGACCCTTAAAAATCTCAGTCAGTGGAAAGTGCTCTGATTTGGTGACTGAGATGCACTGGTATAAACTCAACCTGTGTGTGGGGGAGAGAGTTTTGGGTTTTGCTCGGCTACATGTTGCCAAAACATGCCTGATCTTATGTGATCCTACATACTAATCATGACCACTGCATTGCAACATTAAATCCATCAGAAACAACCCTGTCCTCCTTTCTGTAGGTCATGATTTTGAAATGCTTTGTTTTATAATCATCCATGTGTGTAAAGCTTGTTTGAGGACGGCAGGATTGTTACAGAACAGCCCTGAGGCGACACATACTCGGGTGACACCGGGTTAGCTGAGGGAAAAGTGAGTTTTGTTAGGAAATGCATGAGCAAGGATGCTGTGCAAAACATTGATGTCCTTTTCATTGTAGACATTTTACAATAACGAAAAGAAAAGCACAGATACTAGCTAAAATCTTTAATAAAGGCTGTTTTGCACTAAGTTGAGTGTTCCAAGGAGCTGGTATTATTCTACTGAGGAACTTAAGATAATATATTAATGCTATTTCTTTTTGTATAGGTGTGTGGTCACAGTACACTTCCATCCTGTGAATATTTTCTGCATCTTCCTTCACCTTGATTGAGGTTTGAGATAAATTCAGGCATATCTTTCCTATTCACATCATTTTTTGGGGTTCAATTTGAGGCAATTTCATTGGATGGAAAGCTAATGTAACTACAACTTACAACAGGTCAAAATGTCTGTCATGAAAAAGGTGCAGAAACATGACAAAATTATCAAACACATCAGTGCTCGGTCGTACGCCATGCAGATTCTGTTCTACATGCGGAAGGCTCCAAATACCTGATCATTTAAATTAGAAATATCTTGAAAGTCTTCAATTAAAAATAATTTCAAGTCAAATCTACAATTCAGGACCAAACCACAAATAATAATAAAAATAACAAAACAATTCTCCCTTTTTTAAAACCCTTTAATCTCCACTCTTGACTTTGAAAACATTAGTTTGATAAATGGAAAGAAAATAGTTGTTTGAAAAAAAGGTGGTTTTAAAAAGAAAAGAGAGGAATTGGAAGTTTAAAAAAACAAAAAAATAATTAAGCATTGGCAAAACAAAGAAAAATAGTTTGACATTAAAAAAGAAAAATGATAGTTTTCCAAAATAAAATTGAAGTCTGAAATAAAAGAAAATA